GCAAAGAAGAAGTCGATAACTTCGGCACAAAAGCGACGCACATACGATGCAACGCTATAAAAGGTGCATAAAAAAGTCCTGTATAGGCAAGTGATAATAAATTTGGAGATCTGCAGCATGGGATCCAACAAAAACTTGCAAGCAACTTGAAACTTGTATCACTATACAGCCTCGAAGATTTTATCACAATCGCAAGAATAAAGTGACTAAGATCTCCACGGTTACAAACAAAACTCAGTGGCTTATCATACTTTGCCAGAGAAAAACACCATGTTGTATGTAAAACGAAAACTATAAGGCGCTGCACATAGGTAGTAGCTTATGATTTGGAACTCACGTGAACTGAGCAGATAACAAATCCGGACCGTTCGGATTACCGATGATGGCCACATCACGAGCATTGGGAGGCACTGGAAGAACAAAAGCCGGACGGCGAAGATCTGGTTCATTTTGTTCGGCTCTCTGGAAATTTTGTTAAAAGACGAAACACTCACACCTATTTCACGCTACTTACGGTCTGCCCACGTCTTTGCCGAAGTCCATCTTGCAAATTACTTTCTGCAGATTGTAAAGCTGGCATTTGTGCTTGATATGCCATCATCATCGAATTGTACTGATGAAAACTTTGCCAGCAATGCAATTCATTCATCTAGAACAACTTGCTAAGTTAAAACTTACGATTCGTCATTATTTGTCTCACCCATTTGCGAAGTTGTTCACAATACTCTCCCATCTTCATGTGCGGATCGGAACCTTGCTCTGCAGCTTCTGCTCCACGTTCAGCAGCCATTTTCTCCTTGCTTGCTACGACAGTTTAACGACCACACACTATGAAATTCCTAAATTCTTGATAGCACAAGTATAACGGATGCTCTGAAGACGTCCTGACGATATACGACATCTTAAGCAAGTATAACTCCATAGAACGTGCTGCAAAAAGGAGGAAAACGTTGCAATCCAACAACCAGAAATTCTGCGCGACTTCCAAACTTTAGGCGTCAAACGCGCACATGGTGCAATGCACTAGAGGGTTCCTGCTTGTCGCTTATGGAGCTACGGTATGAGAAGCGCAGTTTGCGACTCCTTGAGAAGCAAGCTGCTTTACATTATTGTTACTGTTATCCATCAAAGGTCTAGTCTTCGATCGCTGGAGAAAACTAGTCGTTTACAGATTCTGGGAAAAGTTCAGGATGGAA